TTAAGTTTGGCCGTGTGGGAGCATTGACAGTTTGTGTTAAGTTTGCTGAATCACAGAATGTTTTGAATTCATTTGAAACTGGTCTCATTCAGTCTCAATTTAGATCCCACATCAAAATGAGCTCTTTAGGAGGCAAATCAGCTAAAACAGATGAAAGTGAAGATAAAGCCTCCTTACCAGCCAAGGGTGGTCTATAACAACCAACATGGTTCAAATGGCAATCCTTTCCAAATTGTAAATGAACAGCTAAAAACTTGAATTGTTTGGGAATAGACAGTGATTTTATAACAGCTGCATGAAATTTTGACTTTACGTAAATTGCTATGCCACCTCCCTTGCTTTTTTGATCTGCACAAAATACATTATACCCATAGACTGAAATATCATTATCTGAATTGGACTTTTTCAGCCAGGTCTCAGACAAAACCAAGGTGTCTGCTTTGGTTGTCTACGGACATTCAAATGTACAAAACCAAGACCTGTCCTATTAGAAAACTCCAGAGGAGTCAACAGGCAATTTAGGTCTGGGCCAGGATTTGGACTGACATTGCCAGCCATCAAAAGCAACAACATTATTAAACATCGCTACTTAAAGTTTTTCAATGAAACAGCATGTTCGTAATTCCCTTCAAATTTAAAATCCAGTCGTGAATCACCAGATGCAACAAAGTGATCCTGAATGATAAGGAGGTAGACATAAGAAAACATTGTCACTGATTCCTTTAAAACTGCAGTTTGTTCAGTCCGAGGTAAGTAACAATATCAGTGCATTTCAATGGAAGATATAAAGAAAAATGTGTAAAATGACCAACATTAATGTCCTATGCACTGCCTGGCCTGCAGCTCAGTTCCAACATGCAGAAAAATGCACATATTAGCAACAATGCTCTCATTTTGCCAGTTTATCCAGCGAACTCACGTCAACTGGTAGCTCATAGCTCTCCAGACGATAAACAACACCTCAGTCACTGCTGGCCACTGCTAAACCACTCTTCTTGTATGAGCCGAAACTCCAACCAGCGCAATAAGGCTAAAGTAGGGCTTCAAGAGACGGCACCAACAGTCACTAGCTGGCAAAGGTGCAGGCAGGTGTAGTATCCACAGAAAAATAACAGGAACACACAGCAAAAATCCCTCTTAATCTTCTTCAGCTCTGTAAACTATGATCAAAACAGTTCAAACTAAGTCCCTTAGAACCAAATCAGAAAAAAAAGTGCGTGAAGTGGGTCACATTTCTGCAAAATAGACCTCTGATCCAGACTACAGCCCTGATTACTATAATTATTTTAATATGATTATCAGACCTTGTTCACACACTGCTGCCCAGCACTGCTGATCCTAATGAAAGCTTTAAAAAAGAAGAGTGCTCTTCAGGCATAAGATCTTCTTAATAAACATTTGATTAGGGGCACCACAAGGGGGCAGCAGCCATCTTAATGCTGTAAATCTGATTTCTTTGCTGCTCTCAAGTGCTTTTTATGTAGTTCCTCCTTTTTCCTTTTCTCTATTTATCACAGTGTGGTGACTCAGTATTTTTCATGTTATAGATTTATGGTGTGTTAAATGGAGTGCAGTAAAGTCTGTCTGCAATCAGTTACAAACTGCTGTGAAAATTGTGATCAAACCCAGTTAAATCACTTAAAGTCACTCATTGTGCAGCTGAATCAGCAAAACCTAGGAGTTGATTGTTGACTTCAGAAGGGGGAGCAGAGTGTTTGCACCACTGTGCATCGAAGGGATGATGGTGGAAAACGTGAGCAGCTTCAAGTTCCTCTGTGTCCACATAGCCGTGGATCTCACCTGGTCACTCAACACATCACACAATGTCAAAAAGGCCCAATAATCCCTCCATTTCCTCCGAAGGCTGAGGAGAGTCAAGCTGCCACAACAGCTGCTCTGCAACTTCTACAGTTCCACTGTGAAGAGCACGACTGACCAGCTGCATCATGGTCTGGTATGGCAGCGTCACTGCTGCTGAATGTAAGGCAGAGGGTGGTAAAAACTGTCCAGCACATCACAGCAGCTGCCCTCCCACCCATACAGGACATCTACAACAAGACATGTCTGATGAAAGCCATCAACATCTCTCTAACCCCACACGCCCCAGCCACTCCCTGTTCCAGCCTCTGTCCTTCAGAAAGAGGTACCAGAACATCCTAAAGCCCCCCAGATTCAAGAACAGTTTTAGGCCATGAGCTGTTAAAATGGTCACATCGGCAACACCAACCTGAACATGAACACACACTACAGAGCCTTCCTGATCTAAACCCTGATCCTCCCAGTACTCAGCATAGCTTCACACTGAGCTCCACTACCTCATGGGACTGTATACACATTACACTTTTACTGGAGCTCACTGTACTTGAACTTTTAAGCTGTTTACTCTTATACATGTAAGCTGTATGCTTGTACATTAAACTGCTAATGCTCATTGACCTGCATCTAATGCTTTGTGAATATAACATCTGTGATGCTGTTTACAAGCATTTATTATAAATTCCTCAAAATACTGCACACTTTAAATTAAAACACATTATAATCATTTCAGCTGTGAATCACATAAATCTACATATTTATTATAGTTCCTTTATTGTAGTTTAGTTACTATAGTGTGCATTTTAAATTCTACCTCTGCATTCTGACCTACAGTTACTGTTCATGCATATTGACAAAAGCACAAATAATTGACTGCATTAATTAATTAATGAACAGTGGATGAAAATAATTATGTCAAAAGTGTAACACGTGGGGAAAACGTCTGATCCTGATCAGAAGTGACTAACACTGAATATTTCTACTACCCGAAAAGACAATTATTGTTTTAATAAAAAGTAACAAAGCCTTTTCTTTGGATGCCCCATATTTTATATCTTGAAATGAAACTGTGAGCACAGAAGGGTATTTTGCTTTGACCGTTCCTGCAGTCGTTTCTCTGAAGTATCTGAGTAACAGCGTAAAAGATAAATTTGCTCTTCCTGCTCTGCTACAGTCCACTGTAGTCGTGACATCATTGTGTAGTCATGCTCTTAGGCCCATATTAGGAACTCCGGGTCTGAGCTCCATCAGAACCTGATACGTTTTGTCCTGTGAACTTTCTTCTCCCGAAAACCACTGGATCCTCTGAATTACGAGGTTGTTAAAGAGTTGAAATATGAATATTGCTACATGTGAGCTAAAGCTACTGCGCACTGAATTCACGTCATTTGACTGGCAGCCTCCTTAAGCGGGTTTTGGCAGTGTACATTAACATTTTCCATTTACAGACTGAGGGCAGATGAAAAGAAGTCAGAACAAAATCAGCAGATTTCCCTGCAGTTCTCTGTTCTTCATCTGATGCTCACTGAAACACGATCGATCTTTCCTTTTAGCTTGATTTAAAAAAATGTATAAACGTACCTGCACTCAGGCTAATCCAGTACTGACTCAGCTTAAAATCACTGCTGACCCCCTGATAAACTGATTTCCGCTCTCAGAATACCCTAATTATTATTTTAATGCTGGTAACATTTTTCTGAGGACATTTTCTCAGGACATTCGCCAGCTTGTTGTTCGACTTTTTCAGAACGTGACAGCTGCACCATTTAAGGTGGAACGGGAAAATTCGAACAAGCAGCCAGAGAAAAAGAAGCTGACTTCAGCTTCATGGAGGGTTGACATACTTTTTTTTTATTTTAACTTATTTTTGCTGTTTCACCGAACTAACAGGTCAGTATTTTGTCTTGTTTGCTAATGTTTGTGATAGCTAGTCACAGCTGCCGGACTATTTAAGGTGGAACGGGAACATTCAAACAGAAGCTGCGAAAAAGAAGCTAAATTCAGCCTCGTAGTTTTAACACGGGTAGTATTTTTAACAAGGAGTTTTAGCCTATCAAATTATCCCTCCCAGAGGTTTTATTAACGGGTATAGCTCTTTAACGACCTCGTAATTCAGAGGATCCAGTGGTATTCGGGAGGAAAATATACACAGGACAAAACGTATCTGGTTCTGAACATTTTTATTTAACACAAGGTGCGATACAGGTGATTTTTCGAAAACCCTGTTCATTCTGGCCATAGAGAAATGGGGCTCAGACCCGGAATTCCTAATATGGGCATAACGAGGACTACAGAATAACGCACTGTATTATGCAAATTAGCATCGCCCCCCATTATGACGTCACCACCAGACACTCTGACCGTATATATTTGTCGGCGGAGGAAAAACGAGGAGTAAGCTTAGAGAACAGCGTCGTTCACGAAAAGGTAAGTGTTTTTATTGATTTCTACTTTTAATGTGATTTATTCATTTATGAATGAGAGACAAAATGGAAAAATAACAAGATTAGTCGTCTTAAATGTGGTAAGATGCAGTAAAAGCACAGTTTTAGCTGCTCGGGGATTTTTCGAAGTCAGAATAGTGTTTTATACGGCCTTCGTTCATTTCTAAATAAGGCCGAGAAGGTTTTATATTTCCACTTTTCCACTTTTAATGATCTTTTCCTAGAAAATAAGCCATATTCTTTTAACTTAGCTGAGTTGTTGTGAGTCTCCTGCCAAATGTTCGGGTTGCTGTGTGAGAAACTGTCTCAGCTAATCACCCCAGTCAAAATGGCTTCTTTGTGCTGTGCGGTTAATGCGACAACATCTGGCAGACAAACTCAGAACTAAAGACCATTTTGTCATGTAAGATAACCGATACGATAACGTTAATTACTGAAGTGTAAAAGCGATTTCGCTGACGATAATGACCAAACGTGTCGTGGCGATGACGTCATAACGAATCTGTCCTTGGTTGTCATGACGATGTGTACTAAAGGGTGATACTGTGGTGTGTGTGTGTGTGTTTTTGGACTTTTGTGCTGCAGTTTTCAGTGTGAGAGTTGTTTGACCACAGAATCATGGACAACGGCAGGAGATTTTCAGTGGAGGACCCGACCCCCAGCTCCAGAGTGTAAAACAAAGTTCTTCATCAATATCAGAAAACCTTTATATTTCTGCTTTAGTATGAAAAGTTAAAATTAGTGCTTTAATATGATCAGCTAATTTATTTCAGCATCAGTGTGAAAAACGTTTATATTTCTGCATGAATGGTGGTGCAAGTGTAAATAATATTTGAGTTGAAGAAAAGTAACAGTTGTTCTTTTGTGTTTGTTGCTTGTGTGCAGGAGGAGAGATGTGCGCTTTCACTCGTTCATTTCGTCCATCAGTCAGCACTTTTTATTTAACGCGTTCCTTGTGCTAATTATTGTCATCAACGCAGTCGTCATCGCCCTGGAGGAGGACTACAGTAACGCAGGGCTGTTTCGGGTCAGTACACTGTAAAATTAGAGTTAGTCTGATTTCACAATTTCATATAAGAGAGAGAGAGAGAGAGAGAAAGAGAGAGAGAGAGGAAGAGAGAGACAGACTGAGAGAGAGAGTTCATCAGAGACTCGTCTGAGGTGTGATTAATGTAGTTAATCCGTCCTGCAGGTGGCTGAGGGGGTTTTTCTGATCCTCTATGTGTTGGAGTTCTGTGTGAAGTTCTATGTTGAGCCACGTGGATTTTGGAGAAGTGGCCTTAATGTCTTCAGCTCTGCGTTGCTGCTGCTGTCTCTGGTGGCAGTGTTCGCTGAGGGAGCCATTTCATTCTTCTCCCAGCAGAACTTCAGGCCTTTCCGCGCCCTCCGGGTCCTGAAGACCATCTCCTTCTTCCCCTCACTTCAGGTAAGGTGTTAATTAAGTGTTATTCTCTTAAATAGATTATTAGGTCATTTTTCATGTAGCCCATTGATATCCAGTGTGTACTTTTAACAGTGATAATATTTAGAATAATTAGTTTCAGGTTTACCGTATCAACTCTTTCTGTGTAAAACAAGTATGAAGGTTCTGCAAGATTAGGAAAATATTTAAGAACCAGTTTATTCAAGAATAGCACCTGTTCTTAGAATTGTTCTAAAGTGAAAACCTATGAAAGAAAATTCTAAAGATGCCTTTAAATAAAAATTTAGCTCACGTGTGATGTTTAAATATGAACATATGAGAAGATTTTGTTTTTATAACTGTTTTCGTCTGTTTCGTGCTATTTTGCAGGCTCTGGTTGTGATGCTGGCTAAAGCCATGAAGAGAGCTGTGTATGTGATGAGTTTGGTGTTCTTCATCATGTTCATCTTTGCTGTTGCTGGAGTTCTCTATTTCGGAGAGCAGGCTTCAGGGGACCTCGAGCACTGGGGGGATTTGGGGTCCGCTCTGCTCACCATCTTTGGCTTAGTAACAGTGAGTTGTACACAAGCATCTGCAATCACACATAATGTATATGTAGAAAATATAAACATCTAAAGCTTGTAAAAACAACTGTTTACATTTGATATAAACAATCCTCAATAAACACAAACATATGAAAACAAACATCAACAATCAGCAGCAACACCCCCCTTACACTGTTCTAGAATGACCTCTCCATTCACCTCATTCACTCTGTTCTAGAATGTTCACCCCATTCACATTTTCTAGAATGAAACCCCTCCTCCTTACAATCTAATCACCCTATAAATTTCCATCCCTGCTTTCTGTTTCCTGCGACAAAGTTTTCGCAATAGCAAACATGATAATTGACTGCATGTCGTTTTTTGTTGTTCTATTTTAGCTGGACGGCTGGGTGGACCTGTTGAAGAAAGTAGATAGTTCAGGAGTGACCTACAGTCGGCTCTTCCCCGTCGTCTTCATACTGATAGGCCACTTCATCTTCTTCAACATGTTCGTGGGTTTGGTCATCATGGAGGTTGAGGTAAATCTATCTTTACATTTACATTTAAGTGTTTGGCAGATGCTCTTATCCAGAGCTAGAGTTGAATGATGTTACAGAGGAAGGCAAATGTAGCTTTAGGAGTCTTGCCCAAGGACTCCTACTGGTATAGTGTGGTGTGTTTGCCCAAGCAAGATATCAAACCACAGTCTGCCATGTAGAGGGGAATGATATTACCACTAACATTAAGCCTGACCCTAAATATGATAAATAACCCTAACATTGAAATGAACGTTAATCTGCCCTTTATTAAGCCTAAACTCAGTTGCTTTAATTAACGTCGCTAGTAAATTTAATGCTAATTCTAACATTAACCCTCAGTCCATAATTGAAGTTAATGTGTATATTTTCTTCTTCCTAATGTGAAACAGCGCATGACTAAAGCCCGTGAGGAGGGGTCTCTGCAGGAGCGGGAGGCAGCGCGGAAAAGAAAGAAGGAGAAAAAAACAATGAAGCAGCTGATTGGGAGTCAGGTGAGTGCAGGTTGAGTCAGGGGAGTGAAAGTAGAGCTCTACAGAAAACTGAGTGGGAAACACCTGTAAAGGAATAAGAAGCTTTTTTAATGACAAAGCACTTTGAAATGAGGCAGTGGTGTTTCACGTGTCTCAGAAGAAATCAGGTGCTAGCCTTCACTCTCCCAGCTCGGTAACATTGTTTGATAAGGGAAGAACTACCTAGCGGGTGGAATCAGACATGATAAAATTGAGGAGAAAACTGCTTTGAAAATGTATTTACTGAAGTGTTTTGTTTGACATTATTTACATTTAGGTGTCTAAACTGAAGAAATGGTCCGATACCAACGTAAAGACTGATAAGAATTTCCCCCAAATCATCCAGCAGCTCAGAATGTCTCTCTCTGACTCGGACCACGTTGTAACGAAGGATAGGAGCAGCAGCTTGACATTCATACAGATATATCTGACCACGCTGCGACACCAGGATGCCACCCTGGACAAGTGAGCAACATACACACACACACACAAACACACACACACACACACACACACACTCTCACACTGCGATTAATTGCTCTTCAATTTGTAGTAGAGTGTAACGATAAAATACATTTTTAGTTTGATGTGATATTTGATTTAATTTGTTACAACAAAAGATGGCAAAGTAGTCAGTTATTGTGCAAAATAATGCTGATATAAAACAGTGTAACTGAGCCATAAACAATACAGAAATAGATAGAATGCACCCAGATGTGTAAGCTCCCACCACACTCACAAATTCTGATAAAATACATTTGCTTGTTTCAAAAAGGTAGCATATCTTACAAATTAAACATCTATAAATTTTCAGCTTTGTTAGATATTGTTGTTACATCTAAAAGCAGTACTGAGAAATGACGTTATTAAAGGAGAAGAGTAAATTAGAGACAGAAAATGCTGCTTTCTGCTTTAGGCATTATAGGGCTAATAGAGAAATCTCTGTTTACTGAGTTATCCTTCATTCTAGATGCCTTTCCATTCAGATCTGAGGTCTGTGTTTTACACTCCTCCATAAAACCATCTTGTCTTGATTAATTTATCTTTTCACAAGTAAATAGTTTTAAGTTATCATGTAGCTTTACAATGTAATGTGTCTTTATAATGAATCTCAACCTGCCATGTTGAAGTGTGACGTTAAGGAGCTCCAACATGAACATTATGACTGAATGTGTGTTTGTGTGTGTTTGTGTGTAGGTTGCAGCAGATCTATGATGAAATGCTGGAGGTCCTCAGTGAGCTGCTGGAGCTGCAACAGGAAGAGCAGAGAGAGGAAGAAGAGCACGAAAGAGATACACAATAATCTGCAACATCGTGCTACAGTATTTCACCACTGATAACATCCACTGATAACAGGCCAGTTTACAAACCCAGTTCCAAAAATGTTGGGACAGTAAATAAAATACAAATAAAAACAGAGAGCAGTGATTTGTAAATTCACTTTGACCTGTATTTAAACAGTAACAGCACAAAGACAAGATATTTCGCATTTTAGCTTATCAACTTAACCGTCTGCCAAAAACCTCAACTGAATACCTGTGACCTTTGACCTCTCAGACGACACTGCATTAAAAATCCTCATGCTTCTGTGATGGATATCAACACATGGCCTCAGGAATACTTTGACAAATCGTTGTCATAAACACTGTTTGTCACTGCATCTGCTAATGTAAGTTAAGACTGTATGATGCACAGTGGAATCCACATGTCAACAACGTCCAGAAATGTCCAGTAGCTTCTCTGGACTCGAGCTCACAATATTTATACATCTGTAACTGAAGAAAGACAAGAATCCACTTTTAAAACTGGATCATTTTGTGTCTTCAGTCTCCGAATGTTTAAGTGCTGTTTAAAGGAAAGTATGTAACACAGTAGTAAACATGCTCTATTTTGGAAAAAAAGATGCAGGTATCATATTTGAAATGAGTGCATATTTACAAAAAAAACAATTAAGTAGAACATCAAATGTGATGTTTTTGTGGTGTTTTTAATTTAATACAGGTCAAACAGAATTTATTCATTCCTGCTTTCTGTTTCTATTGGCATTCCACATACAATCCCATTTTTTTGGAACTGGATTTGTTTATTAAAATATCATTAAAACAGCACATGCAGTAAACTCTGACTGAGTTGTGCATTCATTTTATTTGGGTTCAAATAACAGAAAGCTTCTACCTATGGAAATAAAAGACATATCCCTCACTCCCCAGTCCTTACAGTCCATATATAGAAACTAAGCTGCAAAAACAGCCTGTTTTAAATTCACTGTTTTTGTGATTACATAAAAACCAACACATTTACTAAAGTAATTCTCTTAATAAATATTCTTTTCCCATGTGATTGGGTAGGCCTGTGATCAGTATGTGTAGGCTCAGGATATAAGAGGCCAGTATGTGGCTACACTCCAGAGTAGACCACCGTGGAAAACACAGCTGTTTCCATGTTAAATCTCATGAGTGTAAATATGAATGTGAAAAAATCCTTCTGAAACTACCACGATCTGGATCTTGATGTCCACATAGCCACCCATGGTGATATTATTTTATGCATAAGTAAGTGAGGAAGTAAGCAAAAATCCAAATATATTTTAGATATTTAGTTTTATTTCCAATAATAGTTTTACAGTAAATTCATACATGTAATGCTGCTGTGGAAAGAGGTCCTATTTGAACATTTTGAAACATTTTATTAATATTTTAGATGAAATTCCAGTGTCTCTGCAGACAGTTAAAATGGCTGTGTTCCTTAAAAATGATGAAATGACTCAGAAAGTGAATTAAAACTGTCAGAAATTTCTTTATTACACAGTTCGGTGTGACGGAATTCATGGCTGGCAACTAAAAGTAAAACTGTACAACTAAAACCATAAAAAAACCTAAATCATATCACCCACCCTCTGCATACACACCTCACCTCATCCTGGCAAGCTTAAATCTCACTATAGCAAAGATGTAAAAGTTGGAGAATGCAGACAGCTGATCAGTGGTGTTCACAGACTTTGGTGAGGGCGGGGGCTGAGGGGTTTTTCAGTTTTTGAAAATAGCATTATAGACAAAGTGAGTCTAATATTGTGGTATATAGTGGAGCAGCTATGTTTTAAAAATACAATAGTAATGAAAACAAAAGGATGCGCACACAAATCAATAAAACAAACAATATATAAATATTTTAATGAATAACAGTATAAATACTTTCATATGAGTTACATATTTTTATGCTTTCATGTTGTTTAGTGATTTTATATCTACATTATTTTTGTACATACAGTCACTTCATGGAATTAATAGAGGCCTCGGTTTTATGCTGTACTTTGATTAATAACAGTTTCTGATGCAAAGACTAGAAATGTTTTGACATATGAATTATACATTCCGTAAAACTTTGTCGTGAGGCCTCTTACTCCATGTAAGGGGGTGTCGTATTGCACTGAGAGTGGGACAAAATGCCCCTTTTAAAGACTTATTTTCTACTGTAAAAACAAAACTGACAGATTTTCCAGATTATTTTCTTCAACTGTGTGTAGGTTTATACCTCATCATCCTGAACATACTAAACTCACAGATATAATTTAGCTTTACACTAAATGGACATTGTTTCCACTGTTACCTACATTTTTACTGATTTATTGTATTACCTGTATTGTGTCGTACCTTCTTATTATACACTTAGATGTTTAAGCTTTGAGTGTTTACTTTGAGTTCCTATATCTGTACATGTCTGTGTTTGTACATAAATCTATATAAAATTACTGTGAGAGAGTGGATATATATTAATAAAAGTCCTGTTTAAAAATATGGTATCTGAAATAGGGTCCTGTTTTTTTTTTTAAAAAGCACTTCACACTACTTTAACCTTTTTACAGCATGTTCATTTTAGATATTCGTTGCTGCAATAAACATTACTGAAGTAATGTGACTGATTCAGGTTTTGTCCGAGAAACATTAGAGAAAGTCTTTTAAGAATACTTTTAGTGCATTACAGTAGTTCTTAAAGAAGCTTGAATCACTGAATCGAGTCTCTCTCAATTTACAAAAACACCTTTGAATCGATTGAAAAGCAACAACTCGTCAATCGATTTTTTAAATTTATTTTTTATTTTATTTAACCTTTATTTACTCACATTGAGATTTAAAATCTCTTTTACAAGTGAGCCCTGGCCACGAAGGCAGCAACAAAACAACAATGAAACAACACGACCACCACCAACAGAATCAAATCAGGGTCACAACCAAATTAAAAACAAGAACAAACAGAACGATACAGCGCTTTAACAATCATCTTAAATGCACTCAAGGAAATAAACTGCTCCAATTTCAAATGTTTTTGCAGATCATTCCATGCAGATGAAGCACTGTAACTAAAAGCTGCCTTGCCGTATTCAGACCGTACTATCGGAACATCCAGCTGAATATAACTACTAGAACGTAAATTGTACTGAGACTTATTTGTTGATATGAAAGCAGACAAATATGAAGGAAGCAGACCAATTATTGCTTTATAGACAAAAAATATCCAACGAATGTCTTCGCACTGAAAGTGAAGGCCATCCAACCATTTCATAAAGTTCCCAGCGATGGGTTGAATATCTAGCGCCTGTTATAAATCTTAACGCTGAATGATAAACAGAATCCAGGGAGTACAGTGTTGTCTTTGAAGTATACCTGTAAAAAAATATCACCATAATCTAGAATAGGTAAAAAGGTAACTTCGACAAGTTTTTTACTGTGGAGTAAAAACTGCTCCTAAAATAAAATCCCAACTTCAATTTTAACTTCTTTATCAATTGTTCCACATGCAATTTAAAAGACAGGTTATGATCTAATATAAAACCCAAATTTTTATAAGATGAAACTAGTTCTATTGGTCTGCCCAACAGTGTATAAATTTGTGGCAAAAATGATCTCTGTGCCAAGTTTTTTAGAAAATAACATATATTTTGTTTTTTGATCATTAAGAACAAGTCGTAGAGAGCTAAGATTGTGCTGAACAGTCACAAATGCTTCCTGTAAATTTGAAAGAGCCTCTGCTGGTGATGAAGCAGAACAATAGATAATAGTATCATCTGCATAAAAATGCATATCAGCATTTAAAACATTATTGCAGAGGTCATTAATGTACATTGTGAACAACAAGGGCCCCAAAATGGAACCCTGTGGCACCCCAGTTCTAACAGCAAGCTTCTCAGACAAAAAAACATCCAAAAGTACACGCTGACATCTGTTACTTAAATCATTTCTAAACCAGCCTATAACCTTATCAGACAACCCAATACTAACCAATCGGGACAATAAGATGTCGTGGTTAACAGTGTCAAAAGCTTTTGATGAATCTATGATTAGTGCGGCACATGATTTTCTATTATCAAGAGCATTAATTATGTCATTAAGTACTCTAGTGGTAGATGTTACAGTGCTATGTTTTTTTCCAAAAACCAGACTGCTAGACAGACAAAATATTATTACTGTTTACAAACTGCTTTAACTGATCACCGACCTGAGATTCCAGAATTTTAGCCAATACCGACAGAGACTGGGTGATAATTATCTAATTTAGATGGGTCACCACCTTTCAACAATGGCAGAACTAAAGCAGATTTCCAGGCCTCAGGTACAATATTCTGTTCCAATGACAAATTTAAAATGTAAGTAAGTGGGTCAACAGTAATATCTGCAGCAAGTTTCAGAAATAAGGGCTCAAGCTCATCAGGCCCTGCAGATTTGCTCATATTAAGGTTCTCAAGGACTGAAAAACCAACCAATCTGCTTTCTTCCTTTTTCCCAAGACAGATTTCTTTCATGGATAAGTTCAGATGATTCATCTGAAAACCAAAGATTGTCCCGTCCCTTCACTCGAAATTTCCAATTGGGAGCATGCTTGTTCACAACCTGGACAAACGTATTTTGAAAATAAGTTCATGCAGTTTGCACATCAGGAATTAAAAATAGTTTTTTTCCAGTCACATGCAAAAACATCATGCAAAAACCCCTGGGTATCAAAATTCTTAAGACTTCTCTTTCTAATAATCCGAGGTTTTGATTCTGGCACTTCACAATTTCTGATAGCTACTACCGCACAATGGTCACTGACATCATCTGGAAAAATTCATATGTGTGTATATTTATGAGGCTCATTAGTTAAAATAAGATCAATAGTAGATTTACTTGGGGTTTTTAAGTTTGGCCGTGTGGGAGCATTGACAGTTTGTGTTAAGTTTGCTGAATCACAGAATGTTTTGAATTCATTTGAAACTGGTCTCATTCAGTCTCAATTTAGATCCCACATCAAAATGAGCTCTTTAGGAGGCAAATCAGCTAAAACAGATGAAAGTGAAGATAAAGCCTCCTTACCAGCCAAGGGTGGTCTATAACAACCAACATGGTTCAAATGGCAATCCTTTCCAAATTGTAAATGAACAGCTAAAAACTTGAATTGTTTGGGAATAGACAGTGATTTTATAACAGCTGCATGAAATTTTGACTTTACGTAAATTGCTATGCCACCTCCCTTGCTTTTTTGATCTGCACAAAATACATTATACCCATAGACTGAAATATCATTATCTGAATTGGACTTTTTCAGCCAGGTCTCAGACAAAACCAAGGTGTCTGCTTTGGTTGTCTACGGACATTCAAATGTACAAAACCAAGACCTGTCCTATTAGAAAACTCCAGAGGCGTCAACAGGCAATTTAGGTCTGGGCCAGGATTTGGACTGACATTGCCAGCCATCAAAAGCAACAACATTATTAAACATCGCTACTTAAAGTTTTTCAATGAAACAGCATGTTCGTAATTCCCTTCAAATTTAAAATCCAGTCCTGAATCACCAGATGCAACAAAGTGATCCTGAATGATAAGGAGGTAGACATAAGAAAACATTGTCACTGATTCCTTTAAAACTGCAGTTTGTTCAGTCCGAGGTAAGTAACAATATCAGTGCATTTCAATGGAAGATATAAAGAAAAATGTGTAAAATGACCAACATTAATGTCCTATGCACTGCCTGGCCTGCAGCTCAGTTCCAACATGCAGAAAAATGCACATATTAGCAACAATGCTCTCATTTTGCCAGTTTATCCAGCGAACTCACGTCAACTGGTAGCTCATAGCTCTCCAGACGATAAACAACACCTCAGTCACTGCTGGCCACTGCTAAACCACTCTTCTTGTATGAGCCGAAACTCCAACCAGCGCAATAAGGCTAAAGTAGGGCTTCAAGAGACGGCACCAACAGTCACTAGATGGCAAAGGTGCAGGCAGGTGTAGTATCCACAGAAAAATAACAGGAACACACAGCAAAAATCCCTCTTAATCTTCTTCAGCTCTGTAAACTATGATCAAAATAGTTCAAACTAAGTCCCTTAGAACCAAATCAGAAAAAAAAGTGCGTGAAGTGGGTCACATTTCTGCAAAATAGACCTCTGATCCCGACTACAGCCCTGATTACTATAATTATTTTAATATGATTATCAGACCTTGTTCACACACTGCTGCCCAGCACTGCTGATCCTAATGAAAGCTTTAAAAAAGAAGAGTGCTCTTCAGGCATAAGATCTTCTTAATAAACATTTGATTAGGGGCACCACAAGGGGGCAGCAGCCATCTTAATGCTGTAAATCTGATTTCTTTGGTGCTCTCAAGTGCTTTTTATGTAGTTCCTCCTTTTTCCTTTTCTCTATTTATCACAGTGTGGTGACTCAGTATTTTTCATGTTATAGATTTATGGTGTGTTAAATGGAGTGCAGTAAAGTCTGTCTGCAATCAGTTACAAACTGCTGTGAAAATTGTGATCAAACCCAGTTAAATCACTTAAAGTCACTCATTGTGCAGCTGAATCAGCAAAACCTAGGAGTTGATTGTTGACTTCAGAAGGGGGAGCAGAGTGTTTGCACCACTGTGCATCGAAGGGATGATGGTGGAAAACGTGAGCAGCTTCAAGTTCCTCTGTGTCCACATAGCCGTGGATCTCACCTGGTCACTCAACACATCACACAATGTCAAAAAGGCCCAATAATCCCTCCATTTCCTCCGAAGGCTGAGGAGAGTCAAGCTGCCACAACAGCTGCTCTGCAACTTCTACAGTTCCACTGTGAAGAGCACGACTGACCAGCTGCATCATGGTCTGGTATGGCAGCGTCACTGCTGCTGAATGTAAGGCAGAGGGTGGTAAAAACTGTCCAGCACATCACAGCAGCTGCCCTCCCACCCATACAGGACATCTACAACAAGACATGTCTGATGAAAGCCATCAACATCTCTCTAACCCCACACGCCCCAGCCACTCCCTGTTCCAGCCTCTGTCCTTCAGAAAGAGGTACCAGAACATCCTAAAGCCCCCCAGATTCAAGAACAGTTTTAGGCCATGAGCTGTTAAAATGGTCACATCGGCAACACCAACCTGAACATGAACACACACTACAGAGCCTTCCTGATCTAAACCCTGATCCTCCCAGTACTCAGCATAGCTTCACACTGAGCTCCACTACCTCATGGGACTGTATACACATTACACTTTTACTGGAGCTCACTGTACTTGAACTTTTAAGCTGTTTACTCTTATACATGTAAGCTGTATGCTTGTACATTAAACTGCTAATGCTCATTGACCTGCATCTAATGCTTTGTGAATATAACATCTGTGATGCTGTTTACAAGCATTTATTATAAATTCCTCAAAATACTGCACACTTTAAATTAAAACACATTATAATCATTTCAGCTGTGAATCACATAAATCTACATATTTATTATAGTTCCTTTATTGTAGTTTAGTTACTATAGTGTGCATTTTAAATTCTACCTCTGCATTCTGACCTACAGTTACTGTTCATGCATATTGACAAAAGCACAAATAATTGACTGCATTAATTAATTAATGAACAGTGGATGAAAATAATTATGTCAAAAGTGTAACACGTGGGGAAAACGTCTGATCCTGATCAGAAGTGACTAACACTGAATATTTCTACTACCCGAAAAGACAATTATTGTTTTAATAAAAAGTAACAAAGCCTTTTCTTTGGATGCCCCATATTTTATATCTTGAAATGAAACTGTGAGCACAGAAGGGTATTTTGCTTTGACCGTTCCTGCAGTCGTTTCTCTGAAGTATCTGAGTAACAGCGTAAAAGATAAATTTGCTCTTCCTGCTCTGCTACAGTCCACTGTAGTCGTGACATCATTGTGTAGTCATGCTCTTAGGCCCATATTAGGAACTCCGGGTCTGAGCTCCATCAGAACCTGATACGTTTTGTCCTGTGAACTTTCTTCTCCCGAAAACCACTGGATCCTCTGAATTACGAGGTTGTTAAAGAGTTGAAATATGAATATTGCTACATGTGAGCTAAAGCTACTGCGCACTGAATTCACGTCATTTGACTGGCAGCCTCCTTAAGCGGGTTTTGGCAGTGTACATTAACATTTTCCATTTACAGACTGAGGGCAGATGAAAAGAAGTCAGAACAAAATCAGCAGATTTCCCTGCAGTTCTCTGTTCTTCATCTGATGCTCACTGAAACACGATCGATCTTTCCTTTTAGCTTGATTTAAAAAAATGTATAAACGTACCTGCACTCAGGCTAATCCAGTACTGACTCAGCTTAAAATCACTGCTGACCCCCTGATAAACTGATTTCCGCTCTCAGAATACCCTAATTATTATTTTAATGCTGGTAACATTTTTCTGAGGACATTTTCTCAGGACATTCGCCAGCTTGTTGTTCGACTTTTTCAGAACGTGACAGCTGCACCATTTAAGGTGGAACGGGAAAATTCGAACAAGCAGCCAGAGAAAAAGAAGCTGACTTCAGCTTCATGGAGGGTTGACATACTTTTTTTTTATTTTAACTTATTTTTGCTGTTTCACCGAACTAACAGGTCAGTATTTTGTCTTGTTTGCTAATGTTTGTGATAGCTAGTCACAGCTGCCGGACTATTTAAGGTGGAACGGGAACATTCAAACAGAAGCTGCGAAAAAGAAGCTAAATTCAGCCTCGTAGTTTTAACACGGGTAGTATTTTTAACAAGGAGTTTTAGCCTATCAAATTATCCCTCCCAGAGGTTTTATTAACGGGTATAGCTCTTTAACGACCTCGTAATTCAGAGGATCCAGTGGTATTCGGGAGGAAAATATACACAGGACAAAACGTATCTGGTTCTGAACATTTTTATTTAACACAAGGTGCGATACAGGTGATTTTTCGAAAACCCTGTTCATTCTGGCCATAGAGAAATGGGGCTCAGACCCGGAATTCCTAATATGGGCATAACGAGGACTACAGAATAACGCACTGCATTATGCAAATTAGCACCGCCCTCCATTATGACGTCACCACCAGACACTCTGACCGTATATATTTGTCGGCGGAGGAAAAACGAGAAGTAAGCTTAGAGAACAGCGTCGTTCACGAAAAGGTAAGTGTTTTTATTGATTTCTACTTTTAATGTGATTTATTCATTTATGAATGAGAGACAAAATGGAAAAATAACAAGATTAGTCGTCTTAAATGTGGTAAGATGCAGTAAAAGCACAGTTTTAGCTGCTCGGGGATTTTTCGAAGTCAGAATAGTGTTTTATACGGCCTTCGTTCATTTCTAAATAAGGCCGAGAAGGTTTTATATTTCCACTTTTCCACTTTTAATGATCTTTTCCTAGAAAATAAGCCACATTCTTTTAACTTAGCTGAGTTGTTGTGAGTCTCCTGCCAAATGTTCGGGTTGCTGTGTGAGAAACTGTCTCAGCTAATCACACCAGTCAAAATGGCTTCTTTGTGCTGTGCAGTTAATGCGACAACATCTGGCAGACAAACTCAGAACTAAAGACCATTTTGTCATGTAAGATAACCGATACGATAACGTTAATTACTGAAGTGTAAAAGCGATTTCGCTGACGATAATGACCAAACGTGTCGTGGCGATGACGTCATAACGAATCTGTCCTTGGTTGTCATGACGATGTGTACTAAAGGGTGATACTGTGGTGTGTGTGTGTGTGTTTTTGGACTTTTGTGCTGCAGTTTTCAGTGTGAGAGTTGTTTGACCACAGAATCATGGACAACGGCAGGAGATTTTCAGTGGAGGACCCGACCCCCAGCTCCAGAGTGTAAAACAAAGTTCTTCATCAATATCAGAAAGCCTTTATATTTCTGCTTTAGTATGAAAAGTTAAAATTAGTGCTTTAATATGATCAGCTAATTTATTTCAGCATCAGTGTGAAAAACGTTTATATTTCTGCATGAATGGTGGTGCAAGTGTAAATAATATTTGAGTTGAAGAAAAGTAACAGTTGTTCTTTTGTGTTTGTTGCTTGTGTGCAGGAGGAGAGATGTGCGCTTTCACTCGTTCATTTCGTCCATCAGTCAGCACTTTTTATTTAACGCGTTCCTTGTGCTAATTATTGTCATCAACGCAGTCGTCATCGCCCTGGAGGAGGACTACAGTAACGCAGGGCTGTTTCGGGTCAGTACACTGTAAAATTAGAGTTAGTCTGATTTCACAATTTCATATAAGAGAGAGAGAGAGAGAGAGAGAGAGAGAGAGAGAGAGAGAGGAGGAGAGAGACAGACTGAGAGAGAGAGTTCATCAGAGACTCGTCTGAGGTGTGATTAATGTAGTTAATCCGTCCTGCAGGTGGCTGAGGGGGTTTTTCTGATCCTCTATGTGTTGGAGTTCTGTGTGAAGTTCTATGTTGAGCCACGTGGATTTTGGAGAAGTGGCCTTAATGTCTTCAGCTCTGCGTTGCTGCTGCTGTCTCTGGTGGCAGTGTTCGCTGAGGGAGCCATTTCATTCTTCTCCCAGCAGAACTTCAGGCCTTTCCGCGCCCTCCGGGTCCTGAAGACCATCTCCTTCTTCCCCTCACTTCAGGTAAGGTGTTAATTAAGTGTTATTCTCTTAAATAGATTATTAGGTCATTTTTCATGTAGCCCATTGATATCCAGTGTGTACTTTTAACAGTGATAATATTTAGAATAATTAGTTTCAGGTTTACCGTATCAACTCTTTCTGTGTAAAACAAGTATGAAGGTTCTGCAAGATTAGGAAAATATTTAAGAACCAGTTTATTCAAGAATAGCACCTGTTCTTAGAATTGTTCTAAAGTGAAAACCTATGAAAGAAAATTCTAAAGATGCCTTTAAATAAAAATTTAGCTCACGTGTGATGTTTAAATATGAACATATGAGAAGATTTTGTTTTTATAACTGTTTTCGTCTGTTTCGTGCTATTTTGCAGGCTCTGGTTGTGATGCTGGCTAAAGCCATGAAGAGAGCTGTGTATGTGATGAGTTTGGTGTTCTTCATCATGTTCATCTTTGCTGTTGCTGGAGTTCTCTATTTCGGAGAGCAGGCTTCAGGGGACCTCGAGCACTGGGGGGATTTGGGGTCCGCTCTGCTCACCATCTTTGGCTTAGTAACAGTGAGTTGGACACAAGCATCTGCAATCACACATAATGTATATGTAGAAAATATAAACATCTAAAGCTTGTAAAAACAACTGTTTACATTTGATATAAACAATCCTCAATAAACACAAACATATGAAAACAAACATCAACAATCAGCAGCAACACCCCCCTTACACTGTTCTAGAATGACCTCTCCATTCACTCATTCACTCTGTTCTAGAATGTTCACCCCATTCACATTTTCTAGAATGAAACCCCTCCTCCTTACAATCTAATCACCCTATAAATTTCCATCCCTGCTTTCTGTTTCCTGCGACAAAGTTTTCGCAATAGCAAACATGATAATTGACTGCATGTCGTTTTTTGTTGTTCTATTTTAGCTGGACGGCTGGGTGGATCTGTTGAAGAAAGTAGATAGTTCAGGAGTGACCTACAGTCGGCTCTTCCCCGTCGTCTTCATACTGATAGGCCACTTCATCTTCTTCAACATGTTCGTGGGTTTGGTCATCATGGAGGTTGAGGTAAATCTATCTTTACATTTACATTTAAGTGTTTGGCAGATGCTCTTATCCAGAGCTAGAGTTGAATGATGTTACAGAGGAAGGCAAATGTAGCTTTAGGAGTCTTGCCCAAGGACTCCTACTGGTATAGTGTGGTGTGTTTGCCCAAGCAAGATATCAAACCACAGTCTGCCATGTAGAGGGGAATGATATTACCACTAACATTAAGCCTGACCCTAAATATGATAAATAACCCTAACATTGAAATGAACGTTAATCTGCCCTTTATTAAGCCTAAACTCAGTTGCTTTAATTAACGTCGCTAGTAAATTTAATGCTAATTCTAACATTAACCCTCAGTCCATAATTGAAGTTAATGTGTATATTTTCTTCTTCCTAATGTGAAACAGCGCATGACTAAAGCCCGTGAGGAGGGGTCTCTGCAGGAGCGGGAGGCAGCGCGGAAAAGAAAGAAGGAGAAAAAAACAATGAAGCAGCTGATTGGGAGTCAGGTGAGTGCAGGTTGAGTCAGGGGAGTGAAAGTAGAGCTCTACAGAAAACTGAGTGGGAAACACCTGTAAAGGAATAAGAAGCTTTTTTAATGACAAAGCACTTTGAAATGAGGCAGTGGTGTTTCACGTGTCTCAGAAGAAATCAGGTGCTAGCCTTCACTCTCCCAGCTCGGTAACATTGTTTGATAAGGGAAGAACTACCTAGCGGGTGGAATCAGACATGATAAAATTGAGGAGAAAACTGCTTTGAAAATGTATTTACTGAAGTGTTTTGTTTGACATTATTTACATTTAGGTGTCTAAACTGAAGAAATGGTCCGATACCAACGTAAAGACTGATAAGAATTTCCCCCAAATCATCCAGCAGCTCAGAATGTCTCTCTGTGACTCGGACCACGTTGTAACGAAGGATAGGAGCAGCAGCTTGACATTCATACAGATATATCTGACCACGCTGCGACACCAGGATGCCACCCTGGACAAGTGAGCAACATACACACACACAGCGCCTATTTGCTCTTCATTTTGTAGTAGAGTGTAACGAAAAAATACATTTTTAGGTTTGATGTGATATTTGATTTAATTTGTTACAACAAAAGATGGCAAAGTAGTCAGTTATTGTGCAAAATAATGCTGATATAAAACAGTGTAACTGAGCCATAAACAATACAGAAATAGATAGAATGCACCCAGATGTGTAAGCTCCCACCACACTCACAAATTCTGATAAAATACATTTGCTTGTTTCAAAAAGGTAGCATATCTTACAAATTAAACATCTATAAATTTTCAGCTTTGTTAGATATTGTTGTTACATCTAAAAGCAGTACTGAGAAATGACGTTATTAAAGGAGAAGAGTAAATTGGAGACAGAAAATGCTGCTTTCTGCTTTAGGCATTATAGGGCTAATAGAGAAATCTCTGTTTACTGAGTTATCCTTCATTCTAGATGCCTTTCCATTCAGATCTGAGGTCTGTGTTTTACACTCCTCCATAAAACCATCTTGTCTTGATTAATTTATCTTTTCACAAGTAAATAGTTTTAAGTTATCATGTAGCTTTACAATGTAATGTGTCTTTTTAATGAATCTCAACCTGCCATGTTGAAGTGTGACGTTAAGGAGCTCCAACATGAACATTATGACTGAATGTGTGTTTGTGTGTGTTTGTGTGTAGGTTGCAGCAGATCTATGATGAAATGCTGGAGGTCCTCAGTGAGCTGCTGGAGCTGCAACAGGAAGAGCAGAGAGAGGAAGAAGAGCACGAAAGAGATACACAATAATCTGCAACATCGTGCTACAGTATTTCACCACTGATAACATCCACTGATAACAGGCCAGTTTACAAACCCAGTTCCAAAAATGTTGGGACAGTAAATAAAATGCAAATAAAAACAGAGAGCAGTGATTTGTAAATTCACTTTGACCTGTATTTAAACAGTAACAGCACAAAGACAAGATATTTCGCATTTTAGCTTATCAACTTAACCGTCTGCCAAAAACCTCACCTGAATACCTGTGACCTTTGACCTCTCAGACGACACTGCATTAAAAATCCTCATGCTTCTGTGATGGATATCAACACATGGCCTCAGGAATACTTTGACAAATCGTTGTCATAAACACTGTTTGTCACTGCATCTGCTAATGTAAGTTAAGACTGTATGATGCACAGTGGAATCCACATGTCAACAACGTCCAGAAATGTCCAGTAGCTTCTCTGGACTCGAGCTCACAATATTTATACATCTGTAACTGAAGAAAGACAAGAATCCACTTTTAAAACTGGATCATTTTGTGTCTTCAGTCTCCGAATGTTTAAGTGCTGTTTAAAGGAAAGTATGTAACACAGTAGTAAACATGCTCTATTTTGGAAAAAAAGATGCAGGTATCATATTTGAAATGAGTGCATATTTACAAAAAAAAACAATTAAGTAGAACATCAAATGTGATGGTTTTGTGGTGTTTTTAATTTAATACAGGTCAAACAGAATTTATTCATTCCTGCTTTCTGTTTCTATTGGCATTCCACATACAATCCCATTTTTTTGGAACTGGATTTGTTTATTAAAATATCATTAAAACAGCACATGCAGTAAACTCTGACTGAGTTGTGCATTCATTTTATTTGGGTTCAAATAACAGAAAGCTTCTACCTATGGAAATAAAAGACATATCCCTCACTCCCCAGTCCTTACAGTCCATATATAGAAACTAAGCTGCAAAAACAGCCTGTTTTAAATTCACTGTTTTTGTGATTACATAAAAACCAACACATTTACTAAAGTAATTCTCTTAATAAATATTCTTTTCCCATGTGATTGGGTAGGCCTGTGATCAGTATGTGTAGGCTCAGGATATAAGAGGCCAGTATGTGGCTACACTCCAGAGTAGACCACCGTGGAAAACACAGCTGTTTCCATGTTAAATCTCATGAGTGTAAATATGAATGTGAAAAAATCCTTCTGAAACTACCACGATCTGGATCTTGATGTCCACATAGCCACCCATGGTGATATTATTTTATGCATAAGTAAGTGAGGAAGTAAGCAAAAATCCAAATATATTTTAGATATTTAGTTTTATTTCCAATAATAGTTTTACAGTAAATTCATACATGTAATGCTGCTGTGGAAAGAGGTCCTATTTGAACATTTTGAAACATTTTATTAATATTTTAGATGAAATTCCAGTGTCTCTGCAGACAGTTAAAATGGCTGTGTTCCTTAAAAATGATGAAATGACTCAGAAAGTGAATTAAAACTGTCAGAAATTTCTTTATTACACAGTTCGGTGTGACGGAATTCATGGCTGGCAACTAAAAGTAAAACTGTACAACTAAAACCATAAAAAAACCTAAATCATATCACCCACCCTCTGCATACACACCTCACCTCATCCTGGCAAGCTTAAATCTCACTATAGCAAAGATGTAAAAGTTGGAGAATGCAGACAGCTGATCAGTGGTGTTCACAGACTTTGGTGAGGGCGGGGGCTGAGGGGTTTTTCAGTTTTTGAAAATAGCATTATAGACAAAGTGAGTCTAATATTGTGGTATATAGTGGAGCAGCTATGTTTTAAAAATACAATAGTAATGAAAACAAAAGGATGCGCACACAAATCAATAAAACAAACAATATATAAATATTTTAATGAATAACAGTATAAATACTTTCATATGAGTTACATATTTTTATGCTTTCATGTTGTTTAGTGATTTTATATCTACATTATTTTTGTACATACAGTCACTTCATGGAATTAATAGAGGCCTCGGTTTTATGCTGTACTTTGATTAATAACAGTTTCTGATGCAAAGACTAGAAATGTTTTGACATATGAATTATACATTCCGTAAAACTTTGTCGTGAGGCCTCTTACTCCATGTAAGGGGGTGTCGTATTGCACTGAGAGTGGGACAAAATGCCCCTTTTAAAGACTTATTTTCTA